GCACCTGCTGCTGCCATGTGCAGCATTTGCAGGTGAGTGGGGAGGACGCCCAGGCATGACGTGAAGTCACGGCCCGGGACTTTAAAACTCTCCAGCACCACGTTGCGTCGTACGGCCTAGCTCCGGGTTTGAGTCTGGAGCCCAAGCGCAGACTCCAGCCCCGCAAAGTGGATTTCAGAAGGTAAGGGAGGGGGAAAACAAGGGGGAGGAGATGGGAGAGGAAGGGGCTTCTGTGAAATGCAGAAGATAGGGGAAGCGGAAGGGCTGAGATAGGAAGGGGCTTGTGCAGAGGGGGAGGGGAAGGCACCAAAGGAACAGGGTAAAGGAGAGACAAATGCCAGGGGGCCAAGTGCAGACAATGAGGAAAAGGGCTGGAGGGGAGGTGTCAGTGGGAGGGAGGACAGGGTAATGCTGGGAAAGGAGAGGGAAGAGAAGGGGAGGGGAAGGGAGGAGAGGAGAAGAGCATTGGCGGCTAGACAGGGGAGAGGGAGGTGCTGGGAGAATGCTTGAAAGAAGGGGTGGGCATGAGAAAGGTGGGGATGGAGCAAGTCATGTGTGAGGGCACAGAGGGGCAGGAGGGGAACGGGGCAGAGAGTGGTGAGGAGGTGGGCATCAGGGAAAAAGAAGGCAAAGGGGGCAGAGGCAGTGAGGGAAGGGAGAGGCACTAGGAAGGTGCAGGGGTAAGGGAAGGTGCAGGTGCCAGGGGATTCTGGGGTGAAGCAGAAGGGCAGACACCTGCAGGGGAGGGACCAGCACCAGAGGAGAGAGGCAGGGCAGGTGTAGAGGGGATGAGGAGGGGTAGCTCACATGATCAGAGTGGGGCTACTGGAGGAGTAGGCATGGGGGGAAAGAAGGGCTGGTGGAGGGGGGCAGGTCGCAGGAGGGATGAGGGCAGTGAGAAGGGCAGGCGTCAGGACAGCAGAGGAGGGTGAGGAGTTGCGGGGCAGCAGCATCAGGGGAGCTGATGGAGCAAGGGGAGGAGACATGGCAGCAGAGGGAAAAGGGAAAGGTTTATAAAATATTTATTAATAACTTGGGTGCCACAGTGGCACATCCAAACCAGCCACATGAACTCAGTACAGGTGCACAACACAAAATCCATTCTGCTCATGGGAGGAAACTCTTAGGCTATGTCTACACTGGTGGCTTCTTGTCCAAGAACATCTTGCGCAAGGGTTCTTGTGCAAGAAGTGTTGCACAAGAACACATCGACACTGCCATGTGCAGTGTGGACGCTCTCTTGAGCAAGAAAGCTCCAATGGCCCAAGAGAGCTTACACCTGTTAGAAAACAGCGTAGCTCTTGCGCAAGATACCCTCTCTTACCACACCGGACTGTAAATTTCCTTGTGCAAGAGCAGGAGGTAGTGTGGCTGCTCTGTGGGTTCTTGCGCAAGAACAGCTGTTCTTGTGCAAGAAGCTGCGAGTGTAGACATAGCCTTAGAGGGAACACTTCCCCAAGCCTCTCTGCCCCTGAGTTAATGTCACACACATTAGGTTAATGCAATTGCAGGATAGTTGCATGAGGTGGGTTTGGTGGGGGCCAAACTAATCGCTGTTGGTAGGAGGATGGTGGGAAAAGTCCTATGAGAGGGCTGACATGACACCTTTTACTTCTGGTCATGTGTCCATCTTGCCCGAGCGTGTTACCTCCGGAGGCCTGGCTAATGGGGTCAGGGGTTGTGGCTAATGCGGCGCAACCAAAAATTATACAAATCTGCCGGCCCTGGAGGAGGGGTGTGTTGGCTGCCTGTGGCACAGGAGGTGTGAGTTTAGCACAGGGTTTTCCTGTGCTGCGGGGGTGTGTGTGTGTGTGTGCGTGTTGGCGGGGCATTTTTTGTGGTGTGTGTGTGTGTGTGTGTGTGCGCGCGCGCGCGATTGCTTGCTTGCTCAATCAAAAAAATCCCTGGAGCCCTCCGTCCCGTTGAAACTTTCGTGGGCTTTTTTTTTTTTTTTTTTTTTTGTTTTAC